TGGCAATGTTCAACTTATACTGCCATTTCCAATGAACCACTGCCCTCTCAAAGGAAAGGAAAATGGAAGGTATGAAAAAAACATATGCGCCTGCAAAATTTTTTTAAACCTCTGAAAGTGCTTGTGTACACTAAGATCACAAGGCTGTTCATTATGCAGATTTAAAGGCCTATAAACAGCTGGTAGTCCTGTCACTGGAGTAATTACATTACGGTTTTCGAGATTTAAATCCAGTTATTTGAACATTGTTTCTATTCAGTTCGTCACAGTGGGATCTCTAATTTGTTCGACATAGTCAACAGCAGAGTAGTCTATCTTGGACTAATTAGCACTCTCAAAATTTAGCAGTACACATTACACAGCACAAAGGCTAGCGTGAGAGTTGCAGGTTCTCTGCCTTCAAAGTGCTCTTGTGACGATAAAATCTTCTGCAGGATAAACATTTTCATTTTTCTAAGATTACTTTCAGCATTTCGTAAAAATCCTGCTCATGAATTACAATTAAAAATGGTAAACAACTTGGGTTTTTTTGAGGATGAGAAGGTAAATAGAAGGTGCACAGATGTTGGTATTTATATGGAAATGATGTTGAATGCCAATTATTTCTTTCTCCTACAAGGAACTAAAGTTGTAACAACACTGTCAAAACATTGGAAAACCATGCTAGCTAATAATTTCGTACTATCAATAAAGACACTTTGGTGTGATAGAATAATCTCAGGTGGAGAAAAATCTCTGAAGGTCATTGCTTTTTTTTTCCTGGGTGAAAATGATTCTATTGAAATAAAAGCTGCAAGGCCAGAGCGAAGCGCACGTCACAAGCTTATTTCAGAGAGGTGTTATTGCAGCAAACTTGTCAAGCGCAGAGGGAAACATCTCGGCCCGCAGTTCAACCCCCCATTTACGCCTGTATCGAAGCCGGCTGCCTCCCAAAGGGGCAGTCCCACCTCCCCACTCCCGTGCCACCTTCCCGTGCGGGCAGGGATGTGCCCATGGGGAACAGGGCCAGGGAATGTCCTCCGGTGGTGGAAAACTAATCGGATAACTGATGTTATTGCCAGTGCTTGCGGCAAGCATGCTGCAGTGACCTGCTCTGCGAGCGTCCCGGGGTTGCGCAGAGACACTCTACCCCTGCCCAGCCACAAATGCACTTATGATCCATCCTTGGGGTCGCTGTATCGGGGTCAGTGGAAATTAAATTCATCAGCCAACCTGCTCCAAAAGACCACTGGAAAATGTATGGGGGTGTGCTGGGCAATGAGCCCTGTGAACCTCAGAGCCGTAAAGACCTCTACCTCCACAAATCCCAAAGACATCAGGAAAGAGAAAAAATGAGAGAGGAGGAAACTATCAGACTGAAAAAAGCAACCGCAAGATCACACCCTGAAGCCTAGAGGTGCCATCAAGACGATGCTGTATGCTTAAGCAAGTTGCCAGGTCATCATTTTACTCTCTTGGGTTCTTAACTTCAAATGTTGTTTCAATGTGTGTTGCTGCGAAAGAGCAGACGGCTTCCCGAGACCGAGAAACCTGCAGGCGGGCTGCATTTGGCAGAGATTTTTTAAGAGCAGGGAGAAGAGGAGAACCATTAGTACTAGTACCAAATAACACCTGCGGGGGGGTGGCAAAGCAATTGGCCTGCGGGCACAGAAGTGTTTGGCGCCCGATTCCCTTGACTTCTAATGACAGCTGAGGTCTAATATCTGTTTCGGCGTTTCTAAGTGACTGCAACAGCCAGAGGCTTCCAGATGGCCCCAGGAACGTACACGGTGACACAGGGGGGGTCTGTGCCGCCTGCTGCTGCCCGCTGCACCCCGGGCAGCCGGACCGTACCCGGGACAGCAATGGCTGTGATGAGACAACACCGAGCCTCAGCCACCAGCCCCTGTCCCCGGCGCTGGTGCCACAGCCAGCTCCTCCGGGACCACGACCGACTCACAGCCGGGTATAGCCAGAGATGGAGGTGGCATTCAGGACTTTCTGTGTTTGGAGCTACAGACACACACATTAGGAATTTTTTCCTTTTCTGGCCCCTTTGCGTCCTGCATAAATCCCAGGCTCTCTACCACTTGAAATCCAGCTTTGAAATACATAGTCAGGGATGATCCCTGCCATGTTGCCTTGGCAGGCAGCTTTTGGTGTTATCTGTGCACAGGTGCAGTAGGCGAGCCACCTGGGAGCTCTCTTTGGGAAGGGTACGGCCTCATTACACCCATAAAAATCAGAGGCTGGTGCCAAAGGAGGCGGTGCTGCTCTCCTCCCTCCCCACCTCCCACCCTCCCTCTCGCCACCCTGCGCCAGCTCATCCCATCACAACGCTGTTTGATGAGCTGGAACGGTCGTTTGATCCAATAACAACTCAAAGAGGGAATCCTAATTAAAAAAAAAAAAAATTAAAAAGCAGCTCCTGCTAGATCCAGCTGAAATATGGGGGCGTGGATGGGCCACGCACCGCGACAGAGCAGGCGGCAACACTGATGCTTGTGCCCACAGCCTCCCTTGCAGCAGCTTGTAATGGGAAATGGCATCCTCAGATCGCTGGGATTTTGATGTCCACTTCCCGTCTCAGTAAATGAAACTGTGCTTGCATCCCCTACCTGGACTACAGCTGCATTTTCATTTCATTCCACTTTTGTTTTCTAAAATGTGAGACAAAGTCCTTCCTTGCTTTAAAAGCACATTTTACATGCTAAAATGGCTTTTCCAGAGAATACAGAACAACGATGACAACAGACGATAACTTCTCTTCCTTCCAGCTTTGGGGGCTGGCAGAAGGGAAGGAGAAGGCTGTGACCCCGTTGCCATCAGCAGAGACATCAGAAGGATACAGGCAGCCAGCGCCCTTGGCGGGCACAAGGGCGAAGCCCTTGTCTCTTCTGCAAGAGGGGTTGCTACTAGAAAAGTTTGGGAGTATCTGTAGGAAACAAAGATCCCCCACTCTGGGACTAATTAATGAGACTAATCCTTCTGCACAATAGCATCCACCACGAGAAGCCCTAAAACACCAATTGTCAGGACTCAGAGCAAATTAAATGTGCTCAGTACACTCCTACACAGCCCTCTGAACTGCAGCCTACACAGCTGTGCTTTATCAGGAATCTAGGATTTCCAATGTTAATTACAGTTATGCTTGAATAACAGACATGTGACACTTCTGTCATTATAAAAATATTAAGATCTCACAAACAGAAAAATTACACGTGGCTGCATGAAGGCAGATGAGTTACAGAAACTAAAGATTCTCCTCAGACAAATTTATCTTTAATGACCAACCACTAAAAGAGGGAAATAGTAATTTACTTGAATAATTAACGAATATATTTCAACATTATGCTTTTATTACTCATTAAACAAGCATACAAATTAATCTTTAACTATAATTTTATGGAGAAATAGCTTTAACCTGTCCTTTTTTTGCTTCGTAAAGTATTTGCAGAGTGGTTTGGGGGACTTTCAAAGATGACCAAACAAAGGGAGAGATATTTGCCACTTCTTCTAAGATATATGGCAGACTGTGCCGCTGCCTGCTGGGAGGGCTTGCTGGTGCTGGTGCTGGTGCTGGTGCTGGTGCAGAGCCCCCGACACCGCAGGGCAGTGCAGCCCTGAGAGACCTGAAGCCAAGTAAATTAACTTGGATAATTGAAGTGGTGACTGAATTCTATCGACTCTTCAAAATATAATTCATATTTTGTGCTTTGTTTGCTTATGCTTATTTAGCTCTTACTATAAAAACCCATCACGTACCTGATGTAAGGCAGACTCTGTCACACCACAACAAATGGCACGGATGTCGCGATAGAAATTGGTACTCGCCAATGCAAAGCATGCCAAGAGCCCTGAGATGGGGACTGCGCCCAGCTTTCCTGCACCCAATCTCACTCCCCGGGGAGCAAAATACATATATATTTCCCATGTTGAGGACATCAAAGATTTTTCTTCCCTGCTCCCTCCAGGTGACCCATCTAGTTGTTTAATGTTTTCAATTGATTTACTTTTCAGTAGAATAATGTGGCTTCTAACAGCCACAGATTTAAAACCAAAATGTAAAGAGGAATGCCAATCAATCAAATAAATCTTTTCCTTTAGTCAACTGAAATAAGTAACAGCCAGATGGTAATTAAAAAGAAAAAAAAGAAAAACAAAAGTAATTTGTTTAACATCTTGCGACTAGATATTTACAGAGGTGCTATTGGGAGGGAGCTCCGAGGGAGCTTCTCAGAGAGAACCTTTTTACTTGCTGGCTATTGAGTCTGTTTACCACTAGGGTAATAAAACAACCTAATCAACTTGAATCAGGAAATCACAGAGTTTAGATGCATTGATTTAGCAGCCTTGCATGCAGCTGCTGGGCAGACAAGCATTCTTTCACAGCTACCTCCCCGCTGAGGGCCTCATGAGTCAAGTGGCAAGTCCACACCTGAAGATGTTGAGAAGACTGGATTGGGACTCCTACTCCCAAATCCCACCTGTCCCCCCACCTGCCATTTATCTCCCCAAACTGTTTTTTTCTGTGAGCTCTGAGAGGTATGAAATGCCATTTATTGCTATCACCTCTACAACTAGCAGCAACTTGCATCATGCTGGAGAACACGACTGCATGTGACAATGACAAGAAGTCCCCAAGGAAGTCTCCTTCCGGTGCCACAGAGCACAGAAAACACCTCATCCCCCCTAACCCATCTCTATGCCTCAGAGACTTTCTGCTTTGAGCGTTAGGACAGGTGCTGGAGCGCTGAGGGAGTGAAAATAATGCAGCCACCAAGCCAGGAAACATGAAATTGCTACTCTACCCTTAACTGGTTTAGTGGTGGACTTGGTACTGTTAGGTTAATGGTTGGACTGGATGATCTGAAAGGTCTTTTCCAACCTAAACGATTCTATGATTCTAAACAGGAGCAGCGGGTCTCAGGTTTTTTCACAAAGTTAGTACGGAAATGCTATACACATGGCAAGATTTCAAAGACAGCTACAGACCTGTTGCTGGTCACAACTCAACTTACCACTGAGCGGGTGAGGAATGGTGTATTGCTTCTTTTTGCTTGAAGTGGATGTTGAGGAAAGCTTGCGAACGAGCACGCCTTGGTTGCTTGCAGGAGCATTGCTCTGCTGGGCTTTTCTCAGCTGGACCATGCGTTCAAGTCTCTTCAGCCTTTCTTGTGAACGAGAGATGAACTGAGGCTTATGGGTTTCTAGTGCTTCCTAAATGAAACAGAGAAACCGCTTCATTTTAAGAGAATTAAAAGGAAGAAAAAAATGTGATATGCATCTAACTGGGTTCAGTAAGAGATTGTCAATGAAAATGATAGCTTGTCTGTACAAAAGTTAGCAAACTGCCTTCCTATCTCTTTATCTCTCAAGGTCCCTTCCAACCCAAAGCATTCTACGATTCTATGATTCTACTTCCTTTTGCTGTTAGAAAGCTGTCTTGGTTGAAATTTCCAGATCAAACAAAGGAGAATTTCTGAAAAAAACCCACAACTTCCAGAAAACACATCCAAAAGGTTTTGAATTACATATTTTTATGAATATTCCAAATTCAAGTTCTTGATGTTTTGCTTATTTCCTTGTCTCATCTCATCGCCAAAGCAGCTTGTCACTGACAGTTCACAAACTTCCCTGTTTATTTAGATTGTCATGCAGATCTCTTCATGGATGATCCAGGAAGAAAACTCTTTCCAGTCAAAGGCCCCTTCAACATTTAGGAATGTCTTAGGACGGAAGACAGGAGTGGAGATTGGTATGCAGCACATGCCGGAGGAGAAGGCAGGAAAGCACATCTGCTGCTGGGGCTTGGTATCAACCTGGGGTCATGTCCATACCTACGGCTGCCGCTCATGGTACTGGGTGTCGTGCACGTTTGGGAAATTGGCAGTTTCGAGGCACAATTTCAAAAGTGTCTTTGGGAAATGTGTGAATCCCCACACTTTGACCATGTTCCTCTACAGGAATGGCAGCTGGGGCTTAGGATGGGGAGCTGTTACAACCAGACAAGCAAGTCTTGGCAGCTGATGCCAGCTACCAAAATGTCACTGGAAAGGAGAAAAATCACGGAGATGTGAACTTCTGCCCTCATCCACTTCCCAGGAAGCAACCACTATCCATGAAGTAAGAAGAAGAAAAAAAGAAAAAAAAAAGAAAAAAAAAAAAAGGAAAAAGAAAAAAAGGAAAAAAGGGGGGAAAAGTAAGAAAGAAAAAGATTAAAAAAAAAGAAAAAAAGAATAAATAAATTTAAAAAAATCAATCCATGTATTAACAACAATAACAACAAATTGATATTTTACCTGCAGCGTCTGCAGGGCTGGTGGAGTTTTCTCAGGCTGGGAGCTGGTTTCTGGCCGGGTGAGCGCGTCGTTTTTCTCACGAGTAACATCTGGCGAGCGAGCTGCAGATAGTGTTACCCTGCTGGCTCGCTCCCACTCATCCTCCTCCTTACGCTCCTTTATTTTGTCACTTGAACCACAGAATTCATAATCACCTTCGAGAGATTTAAAAGTTCATTAAGAGTGCATGGTTAATTTTTTATTGGGTTCTCCACCTCATTAGACATAGAGGGCAATTTCTGAAATAAGAATGCCAAGGTATTATTAATAGGCCTCATTAAGCAGAATAGATCAAATCTAATCATAGGTGCTACTCACTGCCCTGTGACACCCAGAGTATCTTTCACATTAAGCCAGACATCACATTGAAGCATAATTAAACCGCTCGGATGCTTAGCTCCGTTCGCTGGTATTCGCTTCCCAAAAGCAAGACACTTCTGTACCACAGTTGCATCACGGAAAGCAAAGGATATCACGCTGTGACTTGCACTTTGAGTTCATTTCAATTTATTGCACGTATTGTAGGAAATAACATATTGTTATGGACCTTAATCACATATCATTTCTCTTTGACCATACTGAGACTTTCATAAATGCTACTCTTGTTTTTTTTCTTTGCTGATAAGACGGTTTGCTTTCTATAATTTCTATATATTCATTATTGGAAAGACTCCATGAAAAAAATAATAAACAAAAGGTTAATATGCCTTATAGTGTACTATTATGAAAGCTGTCAATGCACAAAGTCCTCCACTGAGAAAAAAGATTATTTTCTACGCTTCTAATTGTGCTTTAATGCTCAATGACTGATACTCCCTGCACAAATTAGGACCAAAAAAGGCTATGTGCTCAAAAATCATACTTGACAAGATTCTCATTTAGAGGACAGAATTAATCCAAAATAAC